ATTTTTTATATGTCTTTTGCTAAACGACTGTTTATATGCCTTTTCCCGGACGAACATCTATAGGTCTTCACAAATCGTGCGTATGCCGGCCGAGGAACGGAAGATGATGACATTCTCCTCTCGATTTTTACAAATCCTGCATTTAGTTTTATTATTCGACGACAAGATGAACACAGAGGACAAAGAAGGGTTGAAGTAAGAAAATTGACGAATATCAAATCAAATTATTTGGTGGATAAATTTCAATTGGAAAAGAGGTAGTTCTTTTATTAAAGTTACATTCTTTTTCCTTTCTTTGTAGATGTTCACTTGTTTTTGTAAGTAGTTTTTATTAGGAATTGTCATGACATCTCTTGAAATAGGGTTTAGGATTCTACTACAATTTGAAGATGGAAATTTGGGGATTTTTCCTTTTCTGAATATGCTATGTTCATATTAGATTTTTGCCACTCTTTCAGGTGGTTGTCTTGAGTATGTGCCTTGATGCTCCAGTAATTGCGACTCAGGACGAATATCTATAGGTCGCAGTTACTGGAGCATTCAGTTACAAAGAATTTTTTATACGTCTTTTCCCAAACGACTGTTTATATGCCTTTTCCCGGACGAACATCTATAGGCCAGGTCTTCACAAATCGTGCGTATGCCGACCGAGGAACGGAGGATGATGACATTCTCCTCTCGATTTTTACAAATCCTGCATTTAGTTTTCTTATTCGATGACAAGATGAACACAAAGGACAAAAGAATGGTTGAAGTACGAACAAAGGAAAGGAATGACAAATATCAATATTCAGTGGATAAATTTCAATGGGAAAAGAGGTAGTTCTTTTATTAATATTACATTCTTTTTCCTTTCTTTGTAGATGTTCACTTATTTTGTAAGTAATTTTTATTAGGGATTGTCATGACATCTCTAACAGGGTTTGGGATTCTATTACAATTTGAAGATTGAAATTTGGGGATTTTTCCTTTTCTGAATATGCTATGTTCATATTAGATTTTTGCCACTCTTTCATGTGGTTGTCTTGAGTTTGTGCCTTGATGCTCCAGTTACTGCGACTCAGGAAATCCAGCCCTGAATTCAAATGTCCTCAATGGTAGGGTTACTATGAAGTGTTTCCTTGGAATTTTGACAGTATTATTTTCCTAACAATTTGTTGAATATCGGGTAATTACTCTTATTAATTTGAAAAGTTGAAAGAACTAATAGTCTGTATCACGTTCTTTATGTGTTTGACAATATGGTCTAAAGAAGTAATAAACAAAATATTATTAATAAGAAGATGAATTCTCTACAAAGTAATCTCTATATTATTACTTTTATATTGAACTTAAACGTAGGGTGAAATTTGAATGAATCAAAATACAGTTTAACATTTTATTCAACAAATATTTAGTTATAAAAAATAGCCAAAGTACATCTTTATTAGTATATTATTTGCATAGTAGATTTTACTGGATACCTGATTGAATGTTTTATCAACTTTACTGTTGAGTAGTTGAAAGAGTAATGTCTGACCACCTTACCATTAAACTGTTGTGGAAAGAAGTTGATTGAATTTTAGATGCAATACAAATGAGAGAAGTCACTGATCTCTCGGTTGGAAGTTCATATACAAGTGCAGCGATCTCCAATATATTATGTTGAAACTTTCCGTGTTGCAGCAAAATAGTGGCTATTTTTCAATAACTTAACAAATGCTGGCTATTCTTGAATGACCAATCCGAAAACTGGCTAGCCCGTGTTATTTTTACGCTTATAAAAGTTTCCAGCCCTGCAAATTGGATTAAAGTTTAAATGCATATTTTGTATTTTGGTTTGGTCAACGTATGGCTTTATTCGAATGGCTTTCATCACTGTGTACCAAAGATCAGAATTGCATGTTATAAATACAACAACATACCTAGTAAAATTCCATTGGTGGGGTCTAGGGAAAGTAGGATGTATGCAGACCTTACCCCTACTCCGGAAGGGTAGAGAGGCTGTTTCCGGAAGACCCTCGGCTCAACAGGAGATATAATAATTTCAAAAAAGACACGAAAGAAGAGATAGGTAACAACAAAAACAGCAAGAGAAGTGATAATAATATCTTAAAATAGACCAGATAGGTGAAAGGGAGTGCAATAATATAATCATATGTAAAATAACAAAATAGTGTGAACATAACATATACCGCTACCATACCTAGGCATAACTCTATCAGACTACCCGGTACAAAGAGGGAAAAACTATGAACTACCCCTAGCCTACAACCCTAATGCTCGACCTCCACGCTTTCCTATCAAGAGCCATGTCCTCGGAAATCTCGAGTCGCGCCATGTCTTGCCTGATCACCTCTCCCCAATTCTTCTTAGGACGCCCTCTACCTCTTCTCGTACCTGCCAAAGCCAACCGCTCGCACCTCCTAACCGGGGAATCTATGGTTCTCCGCACGTGTCCAAACCACCTAAGCCTCGCTTCCCGCATCTTGTCGTCCACAGGAGCAACGCCCACCTTCTCCCTAATAACTTCATTTCCTTATCTTATCCAGTTTAGTATGCCCGCACATCTATCTCAACATCCTCATCTCGGCTACTTTCATCTTCTGGATATGTGAATTCTTAACTGGCCAACACTCAGCCCCATATAACATAGCCGGCCTAACCACCGCTCTGTAGAACTTACCTTTAAGTTTCAATGGTACCCTCTTGTCACATAGGACTCCAGATGCTAACCCAATTCATCCACCCCACCCCAATGTGGTGCGTGACATCCCCATCGATCTCCCCATCACCCTGGATAATAGACCCTAGGTACTTGAAACTTTCTCTCTTGGGTATGACTTGTGAGTCGAGCCTCACCACCCCGTCCGCTTCCCCCGACACACCGCTGAACTTACACTCCAGATATTCCGTCTTAGTCCTACTCAACTTGAAACCTTTGGACTCCAGAGCCTGCCTCCACACCTCCAATCTCTCATTAACACCGCTACGCGACTCATCGATCAAAACTATATCATCAGCGAACAACATACGCCATGGCACCTCCCCTTGAATATGGTGTGTCAATGCATCCATCGTCAGAGCAAATAAGAAAGGGCTAAGCGCAGATCCTTGGTGTAACCCCATAATCACCGGAAAAAGCTCGGTGTCACCTCCCGCAGTCCTGACCTGAGTCTTAGATCCATCATACATATCCTTTATCGATTCAACGTATGCTACCTGCACCCCTTTCACTTCCAGGCATCGCCAAAGAACGTCCCTAGGGACCCTGTCATACGCCTTTTCTAGGTCAATAAACACCATGTGCAAATCCCTCTTCCTCTCCCTGTGTTTTTCCACCAACCTCCTTATCAGGTGGATAGCTTCCGTAGTAGAACGTCCCGGTATGAATCCGAACTGATTTTCAGAAATAGATACCGCCCTCCTCACCCTCCCTTCCATCACCCTCTCCCAAACTTTCATGGTATGACTTAACAACTTGATGCCCCTATAATTGTTACAATTCTAGATATCGCCTTTGTTCTTAAACAGCGGAATCAACAAACTACACCTCCACTCATCTGGCATCCTCTTCGTCTTGAAAATAACATTAAATAACCCAGTCAGCCATTCTAAGCCCGCTCTACCCACGTACCTCCAAAATTCTACTGGAATCTCGTCTGATCCTATCGCTTTGCCCCGACTCATCTTACCCACAGCTTTTACTACCTCCTCAACCTTGATACGCCTACAGTACCCAAAGTCACGATGACTCTCGGAGTGTCCCAACTCCCCTAGCACGATGCTACTACTCCCCTCTTCATTCCGAAGTTTATGAAAGTACGTCTGCCATCTATGCTTAATTTGGGAGTCCTCCGTCAATACTCTGCCTTCATCGTCTTTGATGCACCTCACTTGATCCAGGTCACGAGCCATTCTCTCTCGCTTTAGCCAGCCGAAATAGCTTCTTGTCCCTACCTTTGCCCCCCAGTTCCTCATACAAACGGTCAAACGCAACAGTCTTAGCATCTGAATTAACATTTCTTTTTCCCCTTTTTCTTTTCCTATAAATTAAAATTTCTTATATTGCATGTTATAGAATTAACTTTTGTATAACTTATAGATTTTTAAATAGTTTTGTATAAAGGAGTTCTTTTTTAAAAAAAAAATGTTTATGACACTACTAGGAAATAGGTACAGGTTCTTACAAGTTATTTCCTGAAATCAGACATATGATGACTAATTTTGGAACTAAATCTCGATTGCAGTGTTATCTTAAATATGTGTTCCAATTCATCCAATTCACTACAGTATGATTGTCTTTGTTGCAATTATCCAGTGTTTGTAAAATCAATGACATGAAAAGTGTTAGATATAAAATTAATTTTCTTATACACATGCAAAATTTATATGTATACCAATTAAGTTTAAATTTATAAAACAAAATGTTAATTCATTTATTGATGATCGCGCGAAGCGCGATAAATTTACTAGTATGTATAATAAAACAAGATCCCCTAAATACATTCCTGAACTGTTTTTGTCTTAACTATTCCTTGAACTAGGCAGTTTGATAGGTATATATTCCTGAACGTTAATGTGTCAAAGAATGTTAACACACTCTCGTTTAGGCATACGAGAGTGAAGAAAAACAAAAATAAAAAATCAATTTTTCGTTAATTGTCACATAATCATATAGAATGATTTATTTGTTCCAATTCTTTATTTCTTCTTGCTTTTTCTTAATATACAATGCATATTTTACTAAGCTTGTGCAACTTAAAATTCCGTTTTAAATTTGAGATGTTTTTGATTTGACTAAACTTACTTGCACAAGTTTAAGTAAAAACTTCATATGTTTTGTGGTACAATATTTGTTGTGAGAATATGCGGGGTTGTATTATTGAGGATTGTGGGTAGTCAAAACCTTCCACTACTTGGATGAAAAGTTCCATATCCATGTTCTCCTTCTCCCTTCTTTTTTCTTCTCCAAATATAAGGCATAATTTTCCATCACAAATACAATGACAACTCGAATATGCACACAAAGGAATTGCTAAAAAAAACCTCAGCTTTGAAATTTTCAGTCAGTCTCTTGCAAAGTACATAAGTACATTGAAAATGTGATTCCACGGTTCGAACCCACGATCTATACGTCACACCGAGATAACTTGACAGTTGCTCCAAGACTCCCCTTCTAAATTACGGCATCGGAATTTCATATTTGCTGAAATTTTAGTAAATTTTCACACACACATATATATATATACTTTTTGTGCAAATACTTGGTTATATTGGACTCAATGAACTATGCTCCATCCACCATTGCGCGTCAAACATTATTATTCAGCTTTCCAGGAGGACAATGGTGGAGTCTCAGAATTTATCCAAGTTCCCCACATGAACGCATGCCTTTCGCCTTTGACCATATCAGCATAAGCACAGGACTCCAGCTCTGCTATCTCATCTGCTGTTAGTTTTACAGATACGGCTTCAATATTTTCATTGAGGTTCTCAATCTTGGTGGTACCAGGTATGGGGCATATGTCATCTCCTTTGTGAAGAACCCAAGCCAATGCAAGTTGTGATGTGGTGCATCTTTTTCTTGATGCTATTTTCTTGAGTTGCTCGAATATTTGCTTGTTGTGCTCAAAATTCTCAGGCTTGAACCTTGGTATATTCTGGCAAAACAAATGGTGAAAGCAATGTATATCAGCCATATTTTACAGTATGTTTTGTCCGTTAATTATAACACGCTATATCAAAAGAGATTGAGCAAAAAGGATATGTTGGCAATCTTTAGAACATGGTCTTGCACCTGCTTGACTGGTTGGATCTTGAAAATGAATCCATGGCCAAATGACTCTTAACAAACTACAACATCCTCTAGTAGTAAAATGGCTCAAGGGATACACTCATCTGCTTGACTAAATATTACTCCCTTCCGATAAAAAAGAACGGCATCAATATTATCTACAGAGTCAACCAGCTTTTATTTGAATGATTTGTTTAAATATTTTAAAAAATTATAAGTATAGAAAGTGTGATATTTGGTACTCTTTACATCCCAAAAGGAAAGACTCTTTTACTAGTTGGAGTCCTACAATTTCTCTGTTTTCTTTTGACGACAACTTCTTTTAAACACCTCTTTTTAATATTTCCAAATTCGAATTATAACTTTTGTGATCTCCAGTACTTTTTTCAATAATTTCGAAATACATTATATTGATTCAGTAGGAGGCATTATCACCTCATATCAAAAGAACGTAAAGCATATGCTTGAGCACTACCATAAAATATTGAATCTAAATATGGACATTCATAAACTTTAATGCGAGGAAAGTCACAAACTTGATGCTAAATCTGAGCTTGTTTGTAGAGTTTGACAAAAGGCCAATGACACATGTTAAGTTAAAGCAAAATGATGACTATGATACACGACTAAAGTGGATGCAAATGATGGTTATTTGATATCAAAGACAGAAAAATTAACTGAACCAACCTTGCGGAAGTCGCCGTCGGCCAAGCTCTCAATCAACTGTGGACCTGCTGAGAAGAATCCTCGTCCAAGAGGACTATATGGGACAATCCCGATTCCTAATTCTCTGAAAAGGGCATTATTCAGAAACCTTTTCATTATCTAGAAGAATGAAATCTAAGAGACACATTACATGCAAGTAGGGACTATTTCTTCCTCCAGATCTCTGGTCCACAAAGACCACTCCAACTGAACAGCTGTTATTGGATGCACTGCATGCGCCCTTCTAATTGTTGCTGCACAAGCCTCAGACAGACCTATATATTTGATTTTACCCTCTTCAACCAGTTTCTTCAGTTCTCCTATCTACACACTATGCCACACAATATCATAACAAAAAATAGCAATAAATGTTAAGCACAATAAACGAACTGCCCGATGTTTTATGTCATATAAAGCCTCAAAAAGTCCACCCCTCTTTTCCCCCCCACATTTTACTTTAGTTGTTTATAATAGAAGATGATTAGTATCGTCTTGGTGATGCTTCAAAAACTACAGTAGCTAACAATCATGCATCTTCTTCTCCTTAAATTGTCTATTGTCAAAGTAGCATCATCTCACACTGCAGACTATACAAAAAAATCCACCTTCTTTAGAACCCTGATCTCCAAAATGATTTCCATGCAGGTCTCAGCTAACCTTTGTTACACAGTTGACTGCAATGTGATTTCACCATAAAGAATTTGCTGGTGACAGAGTGTAGAGCAAAGTTAGTCTGACGTAAAGAGAAGAAGTCTTTCCACCTCAACAGGGTTTAGGAGTACATGGGGTGATGCACCAAAGGTAGATTTGTGGGTTGAATTCCACTGGAAAAGGGGCCGAAACTGGGTTTTCAGTAGGAAACTTGTTTTTGGAGCAACTATGAAATTACAGTTAGCATAGACAAGCGTTTCTTTTTTGTAGAGAATCATGTCTCTTATGGAAATTCTCTACCATATGCGAGATAAATTTATCACAAAAATTTCAAGGTATTGGCCTATCCTCCGAGAATTTGAGAGAAACACATAGCATAGACTTCAAAATTCCACCTTTTTGTACCCCACTTTTTCTGTACTGTTAGTCAAACAAAAGTCCAACTCTGACTTTTGTCTTGTGGATTGACAATGCAAACAACGCATCAGAAGATCTTCATGGAAAATATCAACATGGAAATAAGAAAAGTGCATGCAAATAAAATAGCTCAGACCATTTCCCACACAGTTGAATCAATCACTGCACTTTCTAAAAAGAGAATAGAATTTTTTTTGCTGTTTTTTATTGACTGGTTACGTATTTCTTTACACATATCATACGATCCAACTATTTGCTAGAACTCTTCAAATATAATAAATGAATAAAAAACTGGAACTAAGATGTCAAACCGTCATTTCAATAGGCACTCGGATATCAATGCGATGAACATAATAAAGATCAATGCAGTCGATGTCCAGTCGCTTCAAGCTAGCTTCACAACAAGCTCTTACATATTCTGGTTCACCACAAATGTCCATTTTCCCATCTTTGAAACTTATGCCAAACTTGGAAGCTATTTGTACTCTTTCTCTCATTCCTTTGATTGCCTAAACATATCAAATTTAGCATGCACATATTTAACATCCCTTCTAATTTAATTAGAACAAAAAGGAATTTCCATAATTTTTGGAAAACAATATAAACTAATTAAAAAGGGATTAAAAAAATTATCAAATAACTAATTCTTGCAACATTGCAAAATAAGAAAAAAATAATTATTTTGTTGGGCGAATTTACTTCTCACCAAAAACATTTTCTGGTCGAAGTTCGTAACTTTCAACTTCAAAATTAACTTAGCAGAATTAATTTTAAAAGTATAATTATAGAAGCATACTGAAAAAGCAGAAAGGTACAAAATTTAAAGGCAGAAGGTACAACACATTCAAGTTGCTACTTATTATTTTTACCTTGCCGATGAGAAGTTCATTGGTGTGGGGTCCATATTGATCGGAGGTGTCGAGAAAGGTGACGCCGTTATCAATGGCGTGTTGGATAAGCTTGATCATTTCGGGTTCGGGCTTGGGCGGGCCATGATTGGGTGACATACCCCTACAGCCCAGCCCGATTCTAGAGACTTCTAAGCCTTGTGAGCCTAGCTTGATCCTCGGCACCTCGCTCGCCGGCGTTGCCATTTTCTCCGGGAATCTCCGCTCTCAAGCCTGAACAGTGAGCTCTAAACAGAATATAATATGTTGACAAAAGTTTGACTAAGTAAATTGCATTTTAAGCCCATAAAGTTTGAGGGAAGTTGCAGTTATATCCGCGAAGAAGGATTTGAATCTACAACAACAGCAACCCAGTGTAATCCCATAAGTGGGGTCTGGGGAGGGTAATATGTACGCAGACCTTACCTCTACCCCGAGAGGCAGAGAGGTTGTTTCCAGGAGACCCTCGGCTCAAGAAGGCAACAAGAGACACTATATTAGTACTATCAATAGACTCATAATAAAATAACATACAATACCATAAAATCCATAACATAACATAAATACCATAAAATAACAAAATAACAGCAATATAAGAGATATAAGAAATACGAGAAAGATGTAAGGATTTGAATTTAAAATTAGCAAAAATATTTTTAAAAGTTGCTCTTAGAATTAACACGAGTTTTTGGCCAAAATTATTCCTTATGTTTGAGAGTAGACTCAATATTGTCCTTCAAATATGGACCTAAACACTATTTGTCCTTTAAGTTTGCAAAACCTAGGCACAAATAGTACAACTAACAGAATAAGGCAGAAACTAACGGATCGGAAGAATTCCACGTGACTTGCACGCGAGAAGTTTCAAAAGCCCCTAACTCTATTTTCTCCCCTTCGGCATGTTCCCTGTCTTTGTTTTCTCCCTGCGAGCATGTCAAACGCCTCCATCAAGATGGCACAGAGCCACAGATTTAGGCAAAGGAAAAATACTACAGACGTGCTCAAGTTTTAGATTGCCGCTTTCGACATGTGTTTCCAGCTATTGGCGCAAGTTAGTTTCAACAAAGACGGGTAACGTGCTCGTCGGGGAGCAAACATTGTCAACTTACTATTGAATCATGCATTGCCAATTTGTAGTTGCGCATTATTGATGTTGAAGATTCCTTAAACCCTAGAAAATACCTAAAATTTCCGTACATGACTTACCCTTTAATAGTTGGTGAAACACGTTATGCTCACTGGCTGAGCACTCATCTGATCATGAAGCTTATATATAAAAGCAATTTAGCAAGATTAAAGATTGATTACGAGCATCTGCTCTGAAATATTTTTGGAAACTCGGATATGATTTTTTACATACAAGATAATTTGAGAAAAATTCTGCAAATTAAAACTTACATAATATAATCAGAAAAATTTAAGATACCTTTGAGGATGTTTTAAGGAGAAATCGGGGAAGTCCGTTACATAGATGATAGATCTCGAGATTGAATTTTTTGCTGTGAAGTTATTTTTTTATATACATAGAATTTAATTTTTATACCATAAACCACAATTGTTCCTCCTTTTGCGGCCGAAAAAGAGCATCAACTTTGTTCTCACTGGCATTCTTGTAATTAATTTTTAGTGTAACACTTAGAAAGATAAAACCTGGCATAAACTACTGTGGCAGAGATAAACACAATGGTAGAAAAAACGAATTGGGGGAAGACGGGAGAAAACACAGCGTGAGGAGGACACCTGACTCCGTTAGTTTCTAAAGCTCTAATTGGTCCATTTCATCAGTTGGACTATTTGTGCTCAAGTTTTATAAACTTAAAGAACAAATAATGCTCAAGGTCATATTTAAAGGACAATAGTGAGTACCCTCAAACATAAGGGATAATTTTTGCAGAAAAATCGAATTAACACAAATACACACAAGTTTCTCTTGCAAAACACTTTTAAAAAAAATTAATGTCTCAAATTCGTGTAAGGAAGAGCCACTTAGGTGGCAAATATATTTTTTCTTTCTAAATTTAGACTCAAGCTCGAAAATTTTGATTAAAGGTGGAGAAATTTCTATCGCGAGAATATTATAAAGAATAAAATAACCTACTGTTGAGTAAAAATCTTATTCATTTTATATTTCATTGTTATTATGATCATGTTTTTGTTATATTATTTTTCATGTTAGCAAGTTTTTCGAGCATGTACAAGTTCAATATTTTGGTTATTGAGCTTACTTAATATGCATTTTGTAGTAAGATATCCGGATAATTTTTCCAAGTCCATTTTTCTCCTTAATGTTTTATGGAAAGGCTTGCCATTCTTATTTGTAGGATATAGTTAATACTTACGAAATTAGAATTTTAAGCAACGTATTAGAAAAACATTATTTATTTTGTTAAACAACATATGTATCAATTAATTTGACCTCCTCGCTTCTAGATTGAAAAATATTAGCGACCTTCACAGAGGAGCAATCCGATAGTATTTTTTTTATATAAAAAAAAAATTTAAATTTGTGCCAGTGCAATTTTATAAACCATCAAATTATGATGATCTACAACAATATATAACTGTCTTGGTAATATAAAAAATACAGCATATTCATTCTTGCTCTAATAGGTTACATTGATAATGTAAACATCTTTAAATCTATAGTGCACATAAATACAATCCATTTTCAAATAGATGGACATCAACTCCACCCAATAATAGTGCATATCTACTCAAATACCATCTTCTTCTTCTTCTTCTTCTTCTTCTTCTTCTTCTTCTTCTTCTTCTTCTTCTTCTTCTTCTTCTTCTTCTTCTTCTTCTTCTTCTTCTTTTTATGCGTTAAGACCTCAAATTCACTCATATAGTCGACTTCAATTTGTATACGACTTGATACGTTATTGTTAAGAAATATTTGTAATTACATCATTAATTAGAAGTCCAAGAGAAGTATAAGATGATCCACCATCCTCCATAGCCACTCTACTCTTCTCCTTCATTTCCTTTATTTTTTTCCTCACTTCATTCTCTTCACTTTTTACCATCAACCTTTGTAAACCCCCTTCAATTTCTTCAGCACTCACAATATCAACTTTATTATTTTTCCCCTCAAAATCAATAACATAATCCATACTAATCTCCTTAGCAATTCCCAATTCTTTAACCAATAAAAATGCATTCATTTGTTGTTCTGCATAGAGTGGCCAAGTTGCAATTGGCACACCAAAATATACACTTTCCAGTATAGAATTCCATCCACAATGACACACAAATCCTCCTACTGATTTATGAGATAATATTGCTACTTGTGGTGCCCATCCTATCACTTTTCCAATTCCTTTTGTTCTTTCCAAGAACCCTTTTGGCAAAACTTCTTCAAAATTGGTGTAATTGCTTGGTATATCTATTTTTCCCTTTGGTGGAGATCTTCTTAAAGACCACAAGAACCTGTTTGAACATAAAATAAAAAAAAATCAAATTAAAGAAAGGTTGGAAAATAATTTTTCTTAAAAGAGATAATAAGTATATATTGCCCAACCTAGCCCATGATTTAATAGGATTGGGCTAAATTATTTGAAGCCCATTTAAAAACGAGGTTTTTTAACCTGGCCCAAGTAAGTCTGTGTGTCCATGAGGCATGTCCGACGCTAGGCTGGTTGGCCCGCGATATTAATGCACTTTTTAGTCACGAAACTACACTATTAAGTACGATTTTTAGTACTTTTTATGACAAATAAATCCATCATAATTATTACGTATTCGGGGACGAAAAGAGATTTCGCATCTAATATATCATTATTTAGCAATGAAACGCAAAGTTGTCTTTGTATATCATTAGTGACGGTGTTTTAGAGACGAAAGATTGACAAAAGAAATTTCGTCACAAAAAAACTTTGGTGCCGAAAAGTGAATCATAGGTGACAAAATAATTCATCAGTGATAATCAAATTTGTTCTAGTGTTGGTAATATTTTCGTGCAAATATAAACATTGTTTTCTTAAAATTTAATTATTTCTTAATATTTAAATAATTAACATTGCAGATAATTATATATTTAGATGAAAATAAAAATGTTAAGACATCTTTGTTTCACAATAGGATTCAAATTATTTGATGAAGATGATATGTTGGTGTTGGATATGTCTTGAGCACCTTAAAAATATTTTTGAGTAGTTTGTTTTGCGTATTAACTTTTAATGAATGAAATATGCTCCTCATTTTTTGTATTTTATTGTAATCTATTGGAAATATATATATATAGCGCTTTAGGTTAAAAAATAAATTTTAAAAAAATATGAAAAATAATTTTTAAAAATAATGGGCTTGCCCGTGGGGCTCGTGACCCACATAGGGTTGGGTTGAGCTGACCATTTTAAAGCACATCGAAACAGCGGAGGGGCCCAGCCCATCAAATGCCAAAGCCCGAATGGGCTAGGCGATTTCAAGTTCGGCCAGCTATTGACACCTCTAACAGGAGATAACAAGTATCTCGTGGAATGAATCAAGATACGCGTAAACTAACATAGAGGGAGTACAAATTACAAGTTTTCAACTAACGGTACCTGTGACCGCAATGTTCCAGTGCAGTTGCTATTTCTTTGATTTGCTCTGCCTCAAAACTTCCCATACTACCAAAGCACAAATACACTACAGATAAATCCGGTTGCTCATCTAACCACTCGATAATACTTTCAGTTTCGGACATATTATTTCGAAAATGACCACTTTTTGCAAAACTAACCACTGGACCAACTGGATAAATTGTTGGAACAATCTCAGAATCCATTAAAGCCTGAAGAGAAAAAGATTCAAGCTCGAAAAAAGTGTTAATAATAATCCCTTTAGTCTCTTTAAATCGACGAATTCCATCAAAAAACAATGTTGAAGCAAGTCTTGAATTTAATAAATGCTTAGGCAAAACTTTAGTAGGACATGGATTTTTAAAATATGGAATTGATAATTCCTTATCAGAGTTTATGTACTTAGACGTGTCTAAATTTTGCTCATTTCTTAGAGCTTGAAAATGAAGACAAAAGCCAAGAAAAGCAGCATTTGAAGCAAAATAAATATAACTCGGAACGTTAAATTCGTTGGCTATGTCAATCATCGAGGTACAAAACATGTCAAGCACGAAACCAGCAAGACGAGGAATGTTTTGAACATATTCTCGTACGTTTGATTTGTGACCATCGATGAAATCATAGAGGAAACTATCGTGGTTATTCAAGAAGACAGAAGATGTTTTTTCGTCTAAAGAGATATCGATGAATTTTAGACGAGGTTGAGAAGTGAGAGACTGAATGAAGTTTTGAACGCCATAGTCTAAGGGAAGTTTCATGACGAGAACAGAAAT